AAAAATCTATTATGTAACAAAGTAAGTTAGGAAATTTATAGTAGGGTAGGACAGCTATATTAGAACTTTTATAGTAGGGTGCTAAAATAAGCGTATAGACGCTATACGCGCGTACTGCTTAATATATAGGCCTATTATAAATTAGGAAGGAATATAAAGATATAATAATAAAATTAAAAAATATAGCAATAAAGCCTAATATAGATTATAGAGGACAAAGACATAACCCTAGACCCCTAGAAAGACAATTTTACGATAGTTTATAGGGGAAGGTTAGGGGTATATAAAGGGCTTAGGCTTATGCCTAAGCCTAGGTCTAACACAAGATAGACCAAGTCTAACACTACTACTAAGCGAACACACTAGACACCTATAAAAAGGCGTGGAGGGCTTACCTCTCCTTTAAGATACTAAATACTATTATTAACGCTTATTGCATTCTCCCTTAAGGCCAGTCTATAACACTTAAGGCTAGTCTATAACAGCTAAAATATAAGGTTAAGTAGGTTAGATATAATTTAGATCCTATTTAGTATCCTACCTCTAACTTTATAGGTGCCCCCTATAAATTATAGGTATTCTACTAATAGTATCTAAATTAGCTAGGCCCTCCCTATAGCTTACTAAAATAGATTTAAGCCTAAGAAAAAGGCAAAGAGGATCTAATATTACTTTATAATAATTATATTTAATATTAGAACTAATTTATATCCTATTTAGCTATATATTAGGCTATTAACTACTATCTATTACTATTATTCTTATTACTATTTATTATTATATCCTATTTAGAACTAACCTAGAACCCTTAAGGTTCCTAGGACACTACCCCTAGGAAACCTCTTTAATCTATATCTATCTCTCTATTAGAACCTAGTTTAGACTCTATATTAGCTAAGATAGTACCTAGACTAGGCTTCTTTACTAGCTTCTAGATAACTAGTGTAGCAGGGTTTAGAGCAGGTGCAGGAGTAGGGGTAGGAGCTAGGACTAATCTAGACTTCTTCTTATAGAACGCCTTTATCTTAGCCTATAATAGGAAGGTTACCTCCTAATTTAGTACTAATTCCTCCTTAAGTTTATTAATAGCCCTTATTAAGCCCTTAACTACTAAGACTATCTTATAAATACTATTCTAAAGCTAATATAAATTAGATATAGTAGTATAATATATAGCTATAAGGATCTTAGTAGCTTCTATACCCTTAGTCTAAGTATTAGTAATAGTAACGCACTTAGCTAGGTTTTAGGTAGTTTCTTAAATAGTAGCCTTAAACTACTTAATATCCTTCTAATAAGTAACTATAGCTTCCTTATCCTTATCCCTTTTAGTAGGGTTTACTACTAGACTATAGTACTTATCTAGAGCACCCCTAAGGGTAGAGTACTCTTAGCTAACAAAAGAAGGAATCTGCTAGAATTAGTAAAGGAACCCTATTAGACTTAGATACTTACTAGATTACAATACTTATTCTAGGAGATATAGTACTAGCACTTCTTAGAATTCTTTAACTTAAAATTAAAATTATTAAACCTGCCCCTAGCTAGAGCCCTAACTACCCTTATATAGAGAGCGCGATAAGCAATAGGGAGAACTCCTAGTATTACTAGTACTAGCATAGCTAAAGGTTCTAATTTAGATTAGTAACTATTTAATTATATAGATTAAATACTTACTAGATTTTAGATAGATTAGGTTAAATATTTAAAAAATTAGGGATATAGGAATAAGAAAGTTAGTAGGTAGAGGGCTAGTTATATATAAGCTAAGGATAGGGGTCTATACCCTAAGAATAAGAAGTAAAGATAAAGGTAGAGGTAAAGGTGGATTTATTTTATAAAAAGCTTTTCTTTAATAAGGGATCTAAACCTAATCCTAAGGATAGGGACTATCCTTTCTCTATAGGAGGGGGTAGTGTAATAATAGAGTAGAATTACCTACCTATTATTCTATACTAAGTTAGGCCTAATAAAGGCCTAACTTACTAATATATATAGAGAATAGCTCGCCTATAGTTAGGATAGGTATATTCTTCTTGTCCTTTTATACTAGACCTATAGGTGTAGGAATCTTATCCTTTTCTATACAGACGCGCACTGCTATATACCTTTAAGTTGTATAGGATACCTTTTAGATGCCCTACCTACCTAACTCGTTACACTCTACTTCTTATCTTTAAGAAGGTCTTAGCTCTTACCTACTTACTTCCTTACTAGAAAGGATAGTATAGAGTGTTAGGCAAGCTTAGGGCTATTAGTTTATTAGTATAGATCTTACTAAGTATTATAAAGGAAAAATTCTTATATAGATTATATATATTAGGATATAGCTATACCTAGAGAAGTATTACTAGTACTAAGTCCCCCTACTAGAAGAGTTATAGCACTTACTATTAGACTTATTAAAGAGTATAGAGTATAGATAATTTAGATAAGTTTTAGTATAATAAATACTAGGCTCTCTATAATAAGAGGATCTTAGGGTCTCCTTAGAAGCTAGAGAGGGAGTAGGAGAAGAAGTAAGGGTATTAGGTAGGGTCTAGGGAGGAGTAGGAGCTAGAGTTAGAGCTAGAGGGGTAAGAGCTAAGGTAGGAGCGCCCTTCCTTAGCTTCTTAATTTTAGCTATAGTAGTAGTAGCTATATACTTAGCTACTACACACTCTATAATAGCCTTATACTTAGTAGTAGTATACTTTTCTTTAGTAGTAGTAGCTTTAGTAACTATAGCTTTAGCTGCGCAGGAGGTAATAAGGGTAGCGTAGGTAGAGTAAGCGCAAGTAGTAGTTTTTAACTTTAACTAAGATATAGGTTAGTAGAGATATAGGTATAGTTTAGATCTTTAGGGTTATATAATCTTATAATTTAAGCTATAGTAAAGATTATAGTTAGGTAGATAGAGTTATAAAGCTTAGTTTAGATAATATCTAAGTATATAAGTATAGGCTAAATAAAGAAGGTGCACTAGTTAGTATCTAAAAGGTAAGCTAATTTAACCCTTTAGATATATAACACTCTAATTAGCTATACTACCTACTAACTATAAGTATAACTATAATAATAAAAGATCTACCTATACCTAGAGGGTGTGTTATAGGAGGGATATTAACTAGATTATAGAGTATCTTAATCTAATTAATCCTAATTAATACCCCTATATAACCTACTATCTAATTAACTACTAGCTTACTACTAAGTACCTAATAAAAAGTAGGAGCTCTAGTAAGGAAGGTTTACTAATTATTTACCTTCTAGTAAGGGTAGCTAAAGCTCTATATATATAAGTCTAATTGTAGTAGATATAATCTAATAATCTATCTCCTAAATTATTCCTAACCTTAGTAACTAGATTTCTATAGTATTTATACCGCCTATAATTACGTTATCTATCTATCTTAGGCTACGTTGGCCTATGTCCTAATAACCAAGACTAAAAGGGGTAAAGAAGATTATCTTTACGCTATACGCATATATAACATAATAATAAGTTAAAATATTTCTACTACTAGGAGGCAGTGATAATAGAGGTAATAGAGGTGTTAGTAGAGGTAGTAAAGAAGATTAAAGAAAAGAGGAGTAAAAATACTTAAATAGTTAGTAGGTGTAACAACGCAGGTAGGTAGGAGTATCTAAAAGGGATCTAATACGACTTAAGGGTACATAGGAGTGCGCGTCTATATAGAAAAGAATATAATTCCTATACCTATAGGTCTTATCACTATAGTAAAAAATTATTTACTATAGAATAGTACGCTAGAAGTTTACTATATAGGTGTAAACTAACCTTGTATATACCTATAAATAGGTTTAAAGTAGTAGTTTACTTTTATAGTAGGGGTTTAAATTAAGTATAAAAAGTAGTTTTATTTCTATTATACGCTATAATACCTAACTAAGACTAAAAGGGGTAGAAAGATTAGCTTTACGCTATACGCACATATAACATAATAATAAGTTATAATAGTTTTACTAATAGGAGGTGGTGGTGGTAGAGGTGGTGGTAGAGGTAGTAGAGGTGGTGGAGGTAGTAGAGGTAGTGGAGGTAGTGGAGGTGGTGGTAGAGGTGGTGGTAGAGGTGGTGGTAGAGGTGGTAAAGAAGATTAAAGAAAGGAGGGGTAAAATACTTAAATAGTTAGTAGGAAACTAGTTATTATAGTACTACGTAATACTAGTAGATTAATAGAAGTAGAAATAAAAGTAGTTTACTTTCGTGGCATACATAGTATAGTAAACCCTATTTAGGTTTACTTCTTTACCTAAACCACTTCTTAGTATACTTTAGATACATATGGCTACTGTAAACCGGTTTTGTACCGTAGTGAGCGCAAGTCGACGACATTATAATAAACAGAAAATTTATTTGTAATACACGATTCGCGCTAGCATTAATTGGGTGGTACCATAAAGTTGGTTGATTTCGATACAGTACCTGATAGGGCAGTTAAAGCTATCATTGTTGGTGATTAGGACACGGGGATATCATATTCAACGAATGAAAGAGCGATTTGTGCTTCGACAGACCCAGAAAAAAGAGCCATAGTTCCGAGGAGAAGAATAAATTTTAGGGTTCAAGTATGTACAATAAAATCGAAGATCGCATCCTAATCCATGATATGCTGACTGTACTACGGGTTCTCAGTACGACAAGTGTAACCAGAGACACCAGTTCTGGGGCCAGTCAAACCTACGCCGCCACATTGCTCCCACCCTCCGGACATATTCAATGCAACCCCACGGGCGAGGGAGATGTCATTAACACACGGCTTTCACTAGCTTCCTAGTAGGAGCTATTCGCCAGCCGCGGCTGATGAGTTCACGAGTAATGACTAGGTAGAGAATCTGAGTATTGCAGCCGATGACCTCCAGCTATTCTATGGCTTAGCTGGGGGCTATATATTCATGTTGAGGATTTGGGTGGCAGATGACAGCTTAGTCACCTAGGCGGTAGATTATCAGCATGCCGCATTGTGAGAGTCAGTATTCGGCTGACCCATGTTTGAGGACTATTGTTGCCCATCCCCGCCTGACGCAGATAGAGCAAGGATCCTGGCTGCAGCATGTTCAGCCATCACGACAATGTATGATGTTGGGTTGGTGTAGATGTGCCTGTGTTACATTAGCTTGGATTAACAGACAAGTTGAACAAGCCACTGACCCTGGGAAAAGAGAAGCGTCAACGACATGAATATTCTCGGTGCCATAGACTTGAGTGTTTAGATCGACAACGGAGGTTCCACCAGAGAGACCACTATCGGTACCTAACTTAGCTGTACCAATCCAGTGGTTGGCACGACGTGCAGCGGGGGTCTTAGGAAGCTAGGGAGCAAAGTCAGCATATTTAGTACAGAGGTAGATGTGACATACACTAGCAACATATGCTTCAACCGTCATGTTAGAAGGTGGAACCTGGAACTCAATAGCGGGATTCTTTTGGATGGCCTTCATCATGCTTTTGATTCCAGCAACAACGACGCCAGTGTCAGCTTCGTTCTGGAGGTATGGCGCTTTGCTGACGTAGACCCCGAGACCGCCATTGATGGAAAGTGAACCCCTGGAGGTGGAGCCATGACCAAGGTACTGGCTAATAGTCAAATGCCGGGTATCGTTGGCACCAGGACCCTCGACACGAGCAGTCCACTGGAGTGAACGATCAATGCCATCCGATCCCTTAATGACTTCCCAAGCGAGGGGACCAATATTTGGCGCGGACTGCGCGAGAATACCAGATCGCTTGTTAAGGTATAAATCCTTGTCTGTCTCGATCGGCTTGTCCCACGCATCGTAAAAGTTGTAGTGCGAGATGTTAGGATGCCTGATGACAAGATCAGTGTTGACGTGGTCGTTCAAATTCTGACCAACTGGAAGATTGATCCAAGAAGACTCATTGATGAAAGTGGCTCCATCAATAGTGCTGTTTTTGACAATGGTGAGCTGATCCTTGGGTCCAATGCCACTGCGGAAAAGAACTTTGGTTGTTCCGAAAGCGCCTCCTGAAAGGATGACACGACCCCCTGGGTTAAGATTGACGGTCCCGCAGTAGCCACCGCCACCAATACCATTCTCGAGCTCGACACCAGTAGCTCTACCTCCGGTGCGAACAATGCGACGAACCATGGTATTAGTCCAGAGCTTGAAGTTCTTGCGCGCAAGGGCGGTGACCAAGTATGAGCCGAGAGGGCCTTGCCGCTGTCCGTTCTCGTACATGAATGGCGAATGTGAGTATGTTCTGTTTTTCTGGTTCTGCTGATCATTCGCAGTCACATACTTCCAACCATCAGCACCCAGAGCTCCGGATAAAACATCGAAGCCCTCCTGCTTGTAGCGCTTGCCGTCCATCGAAGGAGTGTCTGTACCAGGGATGCGCTTGAAAACGCGGTCGACGGCGCCCTTGATATCCCCTGACTTCCAGCCTCTAGGAAAATTGTAGTCGAAGTCGACGTCAACAGGCTTCCACCAGAGCGCTGCATTTACAGCAGTGCCACCACCAAGGACACAGCCAGCCATCTGATCGATGTCGGTGCAAGCAACCCCAGCTGAGTCTACCCATATCTGGTTACAAAGACCGGGTACATCGAAGCGAGTGAGATTGTTACTTGTCGCCCATTCGGGACCCATGGTCCCTCCAAACCGTGCTAAGGAAGGTGGGCCTTTCTCGATCAGAAGCACCGTTTTTCCAGATTCAGAAAGTTTGTCAGCAACGGGTATGCCACCGGCACCACCACCTACTATGATATAATCATATGCATTAGTAGGTGCTGGAGACCCAACACACGTGACGGGGCCGGTAGGAGTAGGTGTTGGGCTTGGCTGGCCTGGCAGCGTTGACGTAGGACTCTCTGGCGGAGTTCCTGGTACCAGCGTTACCCAGTCGAAATACTTTTGGTTTCTTGCGTCTGCTACTGTGATGCCGAATTGCGATTGACCCTTGTTGTGAAAGACCCAGGTTCCAGAATAGATCGTGCTGTGCTGTGCCCAGCCAATGACCTGAACCTCAGACGGTATTTGAGAGCCTGTGGCGCCGTTTTGGTTCCAGGTCCAACATTTCTGACAGCGGTAGATGAGCTCGAAGTGTGTGTCGTTGACCGCGTGTGAAATCTGGGAGATGATCGCGTCACCAGTGTAGTCCTGAGGCGTTACATAGCCACTGCAATCTGATCAGTACCGGGAGTCACACAATGTCGATATACACTTACCCAGCCCAAACAAATTTTGTCTTGACGGAGTCTGCCTCTGGCCAAGCCACAAGTAATAGGGAATTAGGCATGCCACCTCCATGACTGATACCAGTCCATCCCTGCCTGTTTGCCTCCAGTGAACCTTTCTTAAAGAGGTGAGTCAAAGTCTTTGAAAACCACGAGAAATCATACCAAATACCCGATGTACTCATCATTGTTACCAGTAGGCTCGCCAGGTAGCACATAGCCCCACTCCAGCCCTCCAGGGGTTTGGTCTGAACTGACTGTTTGTCGCCTAAAATGGTCAGGACGATCATTTCGAAGAGGCATAAATCATATACCAGAACTCAATACCAGTGCCGGCATGGGTGAATTTGTCTTGAGCATATGCTGACAAAGAAACTGTGAGTGTCAGTCACGGGAATGTCATGTAAAAGGGATCGTGACAGTACAAAGAGGAGACAGCAGCGAAGCCACGCGAACGAGTGACGAGCCCTTCATGGTGAAACCTTCCTACAAGTCGGTAGGTATCCGTTGTAAATGAACCGTGCACCGGCAATACAGACGACAAAGACAAAGTCCAGTCGATTGCCCGTAGGTAGGCATGTTATATACTATACAACAATGGGTGACCTTGCGGCACAGCAGACGCCAGATGATGGCTAAAACTAAGACCGGGATACCAAGGCCTTGACAGGGTTGCTATCATTGAGCAGAGTAAAAGAGAGGTAAACGAGCTCCCTCAACCAGGTCCAGAATATGAGCACCCGCATGAAAATTGCCGAAACGATGAAGCTGATGATCATCAGATGAGCTGCGATTGGCCCCCACGAAAACAACAACACTTTGGGTAAGATTCGAGGTTAACCGTTAATTTGTTTGAAGCTAATGGTGACATGGGAGGTTGATTGATGTATATTGAAAGAGGAAACCAGGGCAGCGCAGGGGCGACGGCCAGGTGGCTAGCCATGTTGGACTTCTCCACAATCATTTATCACATGGGCTGCAGGGGAACGTCTGGCCAGACGGCTTAAATTGGGCCTCCAAAAAAAGCGCCGCAAATACATATTCTGCTACAAGACATGTTTCCGGAAACACGACAAGCTTTTGTGTTCCTGACGACGTGGAACCGCTTCGAGAAACTCGGTCCTACCTTCTCTCCGATCGTTGCACGAGGCTGAACCAGACCAAGATATGACTACTCGCAACAAGCCTGGACGCGTTTCATGAATTGAAGATCGACCCAGTTCAGTACCTGCCAATATATTATATTGCAACCCTCTTCGCACTACATTGTGTTAGCTCGCACGCGCCTGAATCGTACGTTCTGCCTGTAATGAAGCATTGATTCTTCCGCCGGCATTTCATTTTGCTTTTATCACACCAACACCCCACCAACACCACACCAAGGATGTGCAAGCACTGGTCAATTCGCACTCATTTGCCGGACGCCACACGCGAAGCCTCACAGTCTCAGTGGCATTTATCACAATGGCGCGTGATAGTGCACCTTTATTTCATAGTCTATCGCATATATTGACGGGCTAGAAGACTAGGAATTGGAATTGGGCAGTGATCCATTTGTGGGATGCCAACACTGCTCTGAAGATTGTGACGACATTGTTTAGATGCCTCCGTGTCGGTTCAGATTAGCTTGAGAGACGGGCCAGAGATCTCAAGAGATGATCATATAGGGACCAAGGTCATCGTGTTGCTGCGTAGTGGTAATGCACGCTTGGAGATTTGGCGCAACAATGAAGCTCACTCCCATCACTTGTTCATTGTTAGCTGGCACTTCGGCCCATACCATCTTCACACAGCTTCACGTCAATGGCGTAGGGCAGGGTCATACTAAAGGAATTCGAGTTCCGGTACAGGAACCTACCGCGTACCAACACTATAGTAGTCCTGCTAACAAGAAGTGCAGACATACGATGGGTAAGATCTGGCGGACCACTGTTCTGCTCAGGTAATATCTAATACATTCAGACCGATCACGGACGTCACGTCCAATGACATGATTTGCAATGGAGGGCAGGTGTATCTAGACAGCTATATCAACGCCTGTATTGACCCCTGACCAGGCCCAACCCGCTAAGAATGCCTCTACCGAAAGATATCCTCAACGTAAGCCTTCTTCGCAAACGTGGAGCTTGCAGTAGAGCTTCGGAAGGCGAATACACACTCACAAGTAGGCAGGTAAAAGCCGGGGACAAACTCTCTGCCGAATGGCACCATACGCTGGATTCCAAGCCCGAGACAGACAAGGCAGACCCCATTGACCCTGGCCACTTGGGCCCTATAATGGTTTATCTTGCCAAAGTCGACGATGCCCTGACCACAAAGGTCACCGGCTTAAAGTGGTTCAAGATTTATGAAGACGGCATGGATGCAAATGGCGAATGGGCTGTTACGCGTCTTTACAACAAGAAGGGCTTGGTAGATTTTGCCATTCCTTCATGCATCCCGAGTGGACAGTAAGCTGGCATGCGCCTCTCCTCCTCTGCGCAGCGAGCTAATTCAGACACAGTTATCTTTTGAGGGCAGAAATTATCGCGCTACACGGTGCAGGCAGCTACCCAGGTGCTCAATTCTACATGGAATGTGCGCAGATCAATGTTACAGGTGGCGGCAATGCCAATCCCCCTACGATAAGCTTTCCTGGTGCGTACAAAGGTTCAGACCCAGGAATCAAGTTCCAGCTGTACTGGCCAAAGCCTACATCGTACAGTATTCCTGGTCCCCGGCCCTTCACTTGTTCTGCTAAGCGCAATTGATTGCTCCAAGAGACGGAAGAGTCCAAGTTTGAGGGGTCGAGTTACATCATGGTAGAGGGACAATGGACCTCGGACAATAGGGTAGGATTTCAAGGTGTTCTGCTATATCTACCTATCTTATCTACCCATGGACTTTCCAACATGCCTATCCATATAATATCATGCCAAGCTCCATCTGCGTACGACCCGTGTATCGAGAATGGAAGCATGGGGTTAGAATGTAGGTAGGCTGAATTATTGATACCTGTACTGTACCGTGCCACGCACAGCGGCACTTGGTACAGTTACGGTATCTCATGCGCTCGGGTAGTTTGAGTATCATGTGATTTGCCACTGCTACATCCTGGCTATTTTGATGGCACAAGACAAGTAACGTGATCCTCAAACTACCCGAGACAACTAGGACCTAGAGTACCGGTACCTAGGCGACGCGGACCTGCATTGCCTGGCTCCACTCCACAAACCTCCACAAGAACTCCCCGCCCCCGCCGAGCCGCTTCATCCAAACAACGCAGCGTGTGACCGTGCCAGCTCGACATTGACGGCGAACAAGACCCCAGATTTTGGTGTCATCCTAAACGCAAAATACAAATAACGATGCATGATGAACGTAAGTAGTCTGTTTCCACGACTTCTACTGTCCAGACGCGCGTGCAAGCTGCCCGTCTTACCGGTAGCCGACGCACATAGAGAGCTGAACAGCACGAAACGCAAGGCGACATGGACGAAGCTCACCCCACACTCAATCACCCTTCTACAATAGCAAACAAGCCACTAACGCGCCTATGAAGATCCGCATCCCCTCTTAGCCCAAGTTCCCCTTACCCTTTCCCCCTTCCTCTCTCTTCCGACCGCAATCCCCCTGCCCTACTCGTACAAAACCCTCCCGTCAACCCTGCCTCCCTCCATCACCCAACCCAACTCTTCCCACCCGTCCCAACCACCCGCCTACGTTCAATCTTCAACCGGCACGACGGCGACCCCCGACGAAATCCTGACTTCCTGCCTCGCCCTACAACAGCACCTCGCGAAACTGGAAGCCGACGCAAGGCGCACGCTCCAAGAGTGGGAGGACAAACGAGAAGGCGAGGAGCTGGCAGAGAAACGGAGGGTGGCGCCGGGATGGCTGGATAGTGGGGTGCATATCCTGAAGCCCGAGGTGGTTGGCGACCAGACGGGTCAAAGAGAGGGTGAGGCCAACGAGCAAGTGCCACAGTTCATGGATTTGGACCCACAGGCAGATGGCCGAAGGCAGGAGGGGGAGGAACTGGACAGGGTGTTTGGGCAGCTGAAGGTCTAGGAGAGTACATGGACGCATGACATACTTGGCGATGCCCACATTCTTTCGGCTCTATGCATGCCTCATCTACCCTGCGCACAGCGTTCCCTCTCCACCACCAATGTCGTCAATCATCACATACACGTGCAATACGTCTGTCACCAAACTAGAAGACACTTGAAACTCAGGCACTGCCAAGTAAATTAAGGTCCTAAAAGCTGCAACATGGTATGTAGCAAGAGCCTCTATAAGATTCCCTCGAGCATAGACAAACCCAGTCTGAGGCTCGACCCTACCGCGTTACAACCAACATTACAAACGTACAGAGAGAGAAAGAAGGGGAATCTTGAAGGAATAATTTCGACAACGACGCCACGTCGAGCTCGCTTGCGTGTATCCAATGACACCGTTTGCGAAGTCTAGCGACGGCCGTGTGAGCGATTGATGCTGCCCTGGAGGGAGTCCACCTCGGTCTCTAGACGCTTAATCTCGGCGTGGCTAGCCTCGAGATCTTTGTTGAGACGATCACGCTCAGCAATGAGCTTCTGTTCCCACTGCCTGAATCGCTGCTCTTCCACCTTGACCTGCTCGGTAAAGCGCTTCCTGAGCGCCTCTTCTTCTTCTTTGAATTTGGGATTATCCAGCTTCCTCGGGCGTGCTTCGCCAAACTTCCTGGTCTCCATTTGTCCGGCGCGGTAGGCCTCGTAATGAGTTTCCTCCGTGGTGTGGATCAAGTCGAGCATGTGGGTGCGAATGAGAATGGCGCGGAGCTTCTTGAAGTCGCAGTGTTCCTCATTCTCCACCTCAGCAACGCCCCAGGCGTATTGACGGCCCTTGACAGTGCGGCCATCGTTAGTCTGGACATCCTTTTCGGAGCCAATGACTGAGAAGGGCATGGCGTCAATGAGACCACGAGCGTGTTGCATGGCGGCCGCGTCATCGTCCTCAAGCGGTGGTGTGTAGATTTTGATGCCCTGAGCATCAATGACTTGGCGAACCTAGGCTGTGTCAGTGAGGACCAAGTGTAGTGCTGGTGAGGAGGCATACCCTCGCCTTGAACCTCATCAAGTCTGTGGGACTCAATGTGTCGGCCTTTGCGACAACGGGAATCAGGTTGACACGCGTGCACAGCTTCTTCATGACCTCAATGTCGAGAGGCTTAAGGGTGTGGCCGGTGGGGCGGATGAAGTACAGGCAAGCGTGGACACGGAGGTCGATCTTATCAGAGCGGCGCGGCTGCTGCTCCTGCAGCATGTACGACTCGTGCTGGTCGTCGAGGAATTCAATGATAGGCTGCCAAGAATCACGGTTGTTCACGTAGTCGCCGAAGCCAGGTGTGTCGATGACGGTCAGACGGACCTTGAAGAACTTCTCCTCAAGCTCTGCCTTTGTGATCTCAATCTCAACTGTCTTGTCCATCTGCTTGTGGTGTCGTCGCTTGTGGTCGGCATAGTTCTTGATCGTGGTGGAGAAGAGCGTGTTGATGAACGTCGTTTTTCCGAGGCCAGACTCGCCAGCGACCTGCCATTGTTAGAGCTGGAGGTGCGAGCCAATTGACGACGCATCGGCACGTGTTTGGGTTGGGTGGCATACCATGATGGTGAAGGCAGCTCCGCGTTTCGCGACAATCTTGTGCCTGTGCGACGTTAGTTAGGGGTGGGCGTGTCCGTTTGGGGGAGAGCGCACCTCTGGTTGGGCAACTGCGATGTAGATTAGCATTGTGATATGTAGTCAGATGCGTTTGGTGGGAGACACGTACGTTGGCAATGCCAATGGGGGACAGTGACTCGGCCATGACGATGGCGATGGCGGTCTTGCGGCGGTCTCTGATGTGTGCTGGTTGTCTTGTATGGGAGGAGAGAGATAGGCGTGTCTGGGCGTGTACGTTAGTCTGGTGAGTCCAACATGAGAGAAGAGGGAAAGGAGGGAGAGCAAGGGGGAAGGAAGCCTGACAATGCCGTTCTCGATGCTTTTGGGTGTTGTTGATTGCTACAAGTTTTCGCAAGGGGGATATTGAAAGACTGGAAGACAAACACACAGTGCGAGGGGTGAGGCGTAATGTTATGGGCGGTGTCCGAGTGTCGTGCAGTTTGAGCGAGTCCCCTTTCTGCACCTGGCACCTGGCACACTGAACCTATTCGGCAAGCACTACTGACGGCACTGACCCTGGACAGAAGGCACGCTAATGCATGCACCTAACCTCACTCCAAGCTAGCGCTCTTTTCAGAGGGTCTGAGCTTCCCCAAAAAAAACGAAGAAAAAAAGAGAAAGAAACAGAAAGTTGAGGCAGAAGAGTGATGCGACAACTTGCGCCTGTGTATGTAATGTAGAGTAGAGTAGTACCATACTACCAGAGCTATTCTACACTACACTATCCTATACTCTTTTCCACTCTACTAGACTTTACTGCACTGTACTCTGCTTTCCTCTAGTACTCTCTCTACTCCACTTACACTCTCTCCACTCTCCTCTCCTCTCCTCTCCTCTTCTCTCCACTCCTCTTCTCTCCACTCCTCTTCTCTCCACTCCTCTTCTGGTGACTCTGCTTCCCGCAAATCCTCTTTCCATCACTCGTCTCATACATAATCACTAAATGCTGCCGCGCCATGCTCACGACTGCTACTACTACTGCTACTTCTAGTAGATTGAATCCAACATGAAGACTGATTTCCAGGTCAGTAGTACCAAATTGCCACGCACATGCGACAACCCCAATTCCACTCTACCGAGTTCCGATTTACTTTCCCATAATTGCTGGCTGATCCCATGTGCCATCAGTTCTCCAACTTGCTGGGCACCGTCTATAGCAGAGGCAATCTACTCTTCACGTCCGATGGCACCTGTCTGCTGTCGCCCGTAGGCAACCGCGTCACCGTCTTCGACCTGTTCAAGTGAGTTGTGAACAACAGGAAGGCACAACCTGGACAGAGGCAACCGTCCCCCCGCTAACATGGCCCCTCCTCTAGCTCCAAGTCATACACTCTCCCCTTTGCACATCGCAGAAACATTGCCCGTCTGGCCCTCAATCCGCAGGGTAACCTGCTCCTCTCCGTCGACCAAGACGGCCGCGCCATCCTCACCAACCTCGCCCGCCGCATCGTCCTCTACCACTTCTCTCTCCGAGCCGAGGTCACGGCACTGTCCTTTGCGCCCTCGGGTCGTCACTTCGCCGTCGGACTGGGGCGTCAGATCGAAGTCTGGCATACGCCGTCGACGCCCGATGTCACCCAAGGTGAGCTGGAATTCGCGCCCTTCGTGCGACATCGCATTTACACGGGCCACTACGATGCTGTGCAGGGCTTAGAGTGGTCCGCTGACTCGCGATTCTTTCTCAGCGCCTCCAAAGATATGACGGCGCGGATATGGAGCGTCAGCCAAGACGAGAGCCTCGCGCAAACCACTCTCAGCGGACACAGGCAGGCCATTGTGGGCGCCTGGTTCTCCAAAGATCAAGAGACCATCTACACCGTCAGCAAGGATGGTGCCCTTTTCATTTGGAAGTATATGCTGCGCTACGATGCGCCCGACGACGCCGATGAGAACGACGACCAAAACTTGCAGTGGGGCATCGCCCAACGCCATTTCTTCATGCAAAACAACGCTCACGTCACATGTGCTCAATTCCATGCCGATTCCAACCTGCTGGTCACAGGCTTCTCCCACGGTCTCTTCTTCGTACACGAACTACCCAGCTTCGCCCAGATCCAAAGTCTCGGCATTTCGCAAAACGACATCGACTACATCGCCATCAATAAGACAGGGGAATGGTTGGCCTTTGGTGCCTCCAATCTCGGTCAACTGCTGGTGTGGGAATGGCAGTCCGAGTCGTACGTCTTGAAACAGCAAAGCCACTTTGACTCGATGAACACAATCGCATACTCGCCAGAGGGCCAGCGCATCATCACCGCCGCCGACGACGGCAAGGTCAAAGTCTGGGATGTAAACTCAGGCTTCTGCATCGTCACCTTCACTGAGCATATTGGCGGAGTAACTGCTTGTGAATTCGCTAAGAGGGGAAACGTGCTCTTTACAGCCAGCCTCGACGGCTCAATTCGAGCGTGGGATCTCATCCGTTACCGCAATTTCCGCACCTTTACGGCCCCTTCGAGACTGTCTTTCTCATCTTTGGCAGTAGATCCTAGCGGAGAGGTCGTATGCGCAGGCTCCATTGATTCTTTCGACATTCACATCTGGTCCGTTCAGACCGGGCAGCTTCTCGATAGACTTGCCGGACACGAAGGTCCAGTGTCGTCGCTAGCATTCTCACCAGATGCAGGAACGCTTGTCAGTGGAAGTTGGGACAAGACTGTCCGCATCTGGAACATTTTCGCTCGCACACAGACCAGCGAGCCATTACAGTTGATGGCTGACGTTCTCTCAGTCGCATTCCGTCCTGATTCGAAACAGATAGCTGTCACCACACTTGACGGGCAATTGACCTTCTGGTCAGTCTCCGAGGCTGCACAGCAAAACGGCGTGGATGCACGGCGCGATGTATCTGGAGGTCGTAAAATGTCTGATCGGCGGACCGCCGCGAATGTGGCGGGAACCAAGGCCTTCACTTCTGTCAGGTATAGTGCAGACGGCACTTGTGTGCTTGCTGGCGGCAACAGCAAGTACATCTGTCTGTATGATGCGCAGTCAGGAGTGTTATTGAAAAAGTTTACAGTCTCGACCAATCTCTCTCTGGATGGTACCCAAGAATTTCTCAATAGCAAGCTTCTCACTGCTGCAGGCCCACAAGGTCTTATTGACGATCAAGGCGAAGCGTCTGATCTTGAAGATCGTCGAGATGCAACACTTCCAGGCGCACAAAGAGGTACTGGTGCAAGACGAACTCGACCTGAAATTCGCGTCCCGGCTGTGGCCTTCTCTCCTACGGGCCGTGCGTTCTGTGCAGCCTCTACAGAAGGGTTGCTCATCTATTCTCTCGATAATACCTTCCAATTCGACCCATTCGACCTGGACATCTCCGTTACCCCCTCGACAACTTTGGAGACCCTGGCCCGGAAGGAATACTTGAAAGCTTTGGTCATGGCGTTCCGCTTGAATGAACGCAACCTCATTCGTCGTGTCTACGAAGCCATTCCTGTTGCGGATGTGCCGCTCGTCGTTCAGGACATTCCCACCATGTATCTTGGTCGATTGTTACGCTTTGTTGCTTTACAAGCAGACGAGTCTCCACATTTGGAATTCAATCTCGTCTGGATTGAATCACTGCTCAACAAACATGGGCGGTGGATGAAGGAAAACAAGGGCGGGCTAGAAGCAGAATTACGAAGTGTGGAGAAAGCAGTTCGAAGAATACAGGCTGAACTTGCAAGGCTGGCCGATGAAAATATCTACAGGATCGAATACCTCCTGTCTCAGCCGGTAGAAACGAAGGAAACGACGCTGCAGCTCGACTTTGGCGTTGAAGCGATAGAGAAAATCGACCGAGACGGTATAATAGACGGTAACGATGATAGAGAAGAGGGAGATTGGCTAGGATTTGACTAGAGAATATTATCATAATACCCGTTCAGTTCTCCTAGAACTCTTGCGCGTTTTGATATGGCTTCTAGGCTGTTTTGCAAAGGGTAAGAGATAGGTGGCTTAGGGCAAAAGATTAACAACAACACTGGCCAGCTACAAAACCAGCTATAACGGCTCTGCCACTCACGGTCACCACAACTAACCTCCTAAGTTAGTTCCTAGGGCTAGCACTGTAATTTAAACCTAACCTTAGCCTAAATCTCCTAGGTATATAGGAAGCATCTTGCCTATAGATAGATGTATTTCTCTTATCCTTTTATATAAGGCCTATAGGTGTAGGAATTAATTATTTGCTCTCTATATAGATACGCACTACTATATAACTTTAAGTTATATTAGACCCCTATTATACGTTCCTATTTACCTATAGTATTATACTAGGATAGTATAAGATATTATAGTAGGAGATAGAGGTTTAGTAGTAGGTAAGGATAATTGGTATTAATTAAATATTAAACAAATTAATACTATATATATTAATTCTTGAAGGTATTTATACTACCTATAATTATATAATCTACCTAGCTTAGGCTACTCTAGCCTATACTTATGTTAGTAGGGTTAGTAGAGCCCTATATCCTAATATTATCCCCCCTCTTTAGGGAGGTTACCCTAACTAACTTAACTAGATAGATTTTAGGTCTTCTAAGGGCTATACGCCTTCTTAAATAGGCTATAATAGGCTATTCTAGCCTACTCTAGTACTAATTATTAAATTTACTAAAATCTAAGGTAAAGCTAGTAATCTTTACTCCTACCTTTACCTATACCTTTACTTACTAACTTTACTAGCTTACTAGCTACTATTACTAGCGCCTATATAAAACTAGGCCTACCTTTAGCCTAAATTCTTTTCTTACTTCTCTACTCTAACTTATACTTATCCTATTTAGTAAGTATTTTCCTAAGGTTTATTTCTTTTTTATTACTTCCTAAGGTAGTTATAATAAGCTATTATAGGCTATTCTAGTATAATCTATTACTTATTTAACTTATAGATTTCCTAAACTATCTCTTTATATACTTCTACCTCTTTTATAGCTTTATTATAGATACTACTACTATAGGTAATTCTATAATAATATATAAGGCCTTTACTAACTACTCCTATATCTATTATATTAATACCTTTACTAATAGGTAATATTAGTATTTAGGGAAGCTAGGTTACCTACTACTGATTTTTAATAATTAGTAGTGTAGTATCTTTAACAATTAGAAGGCTAATAGTAGGACTAAGTATTTCTATAAGTAGTTATACTACTTTATCCTTAGTTAAGAGTATATTATAGTAAGTATACCTATATTACCTTAGAATAGGCTATTCTAACCTATAATAGGTCCTAAATAAGTATAATAGTAATCTTAAGGTTATTTCTAGCCTTTTAAAGACTATTTATTTAGTAAAGTTCTTAATTACCCTAAGGGTACTAAGACGCCTAAAAGTAAAAACTATATAACTAAAAGTAGATGAAGATTACTAAATATAATATTATAGAGCGCTATTATCCTCTCTAGTAGGCCTTAACTTAGTAAGGATTCTTTCTAGCGTAAACTAGTTTTTCTAGGCTATTCTAGGCTATACTAACCCTATTCTTTAGGGAGCTAATTCCTTACTATAATTACTTATTCCTCTATAGTAGTACTACTTACTCTAGTAATTCTACCTAGTCTAAGATTTACTCTAAGGGCTATTCTTATAATACTTAGATAATTACTAGTAAGGCTAAGGTTAAGAAGCGCGTTTTTAACGCCTATATAGAGAAGGGGGTTATAGCTAAGACTAGGGGGCCCTATATAATTAAGAGAAATATTAATTTTGTTATTTTAGCCTATTTTAATATATACTAACCTATTATAGGGCTATATAGTTAATATAAAGACTATCTATAATACTAAGTAGGCTATATTGTATAAAGACCGTATTAGTTAGATTACTAAGCTACAAGCTATACAAATATCTACTATTAAGGGTAAGAAAGGTAGCATAATTTGCTAGTTAGTTGCCCTATAGCCTTAGTTAAGTAGTTCTAGGCTATTCTAGGCTAGAATTATTACTATTATTAGCTATCTAGGAATTAGTAGAATATGTTTTGAATTTCTAGTTATCTAAAGGAGGTTTAGTAGTATTTATACCTATTATAGCTTGTTTTAAGCTATTATAGGCTATCTAGTAGTTAAATATTATCTTCTACCTAAGTTTTAGTACCTATCCCCTCTTTTTAAAGGTAGTTATTCTTAACGCCTTATATTCCTACTACTTGCCTTTATCTAGTCTATTTTTTACCTTCTATTAGTAACTCCTATTCTTTTCTAAAATTCCTGTAGCGTGTTATATAATATACAGGATCCTAGTAGGGTATTAAATAGGTATAGGTTAGGTATAGGTTAGGTATAGGTTAGGTTAGCTTATGTTAGACCCTAAACCTAACCTAAACCTAACCCCAAATTTTCGCACAGGCTATAGACTTAGGTTAGGTTTAGGTTACACAGGCTATAGGCTTAGGGTAGGGTTAGGTTATATAGACCTTAGGCTTAGGTTAGGTCTTATATAAGTAGGTTAGGGTTAGGGTTAGGTTATATAGGCTATAGGCTTAGGTTAGGTCTAGGGTCTTATATAATCTACTTATAGTATATATATAATAGGCATGTATCTTAGGTATCTATTATAGGCATCTATTATAGGCATGTATCTTAGGTATATATTATAGGTATTTGTTATAGGTATTTATTATAGGTATTTATTATAGGTATTTATTATAGGTATTTATTATAGGTATTTATTATAGGTATTTATTATAGGTATTTATTATAGTATATATATAGAAACCCTAAGTAAAGTCTTTCCTACTAAATTTCTAATAGTAGTACTTTGCTAGCTATAAATCCTTAGCCTAAATAGTTACCCTCTTTATATAAATTATATATATATTATAGTCTATTTTATTAGCTATAGTATTAACTAGGTATACTTTTATAATAATATACCTTCTAAATACCTAATAAGAAAAGCTTCTATAGATTCTTAAATAGCTTTAATTATATACCTCTAGAAGTAATAGTCCTTTAGCTAACCTACGTTATTAG